GAACAACTGCCTCTTGATCTATGTACAGGTTCCTCATGAGCACAATTAAGTGTTCTGGAATTCCCATTCTTCGCAATGTTATCCATAATTTATTATGATCCACATAGTTGAATGCCTGTGCATGGTCAATAAAACACAGGTAAACATCTTTCTGGTATTCTCTGCTTTCAGCCAGGATCCATCTGACATCAGCAGTGATATCCCTTATTCCACATCCTCTTCTGAATCCAGCCTGAATTTCTGGCAGTTCCCTGTCGACATACTGCTGCAGCCGCTTTTGAATGAACTTCAGCAAAATTCTACTTGTGTGTGATATTAATGATATTATTCAATAATTTCTGCATTCGGTGGGATCACCTTTTTTGGGAATAGGCGTAAATATAGATCTCTTCCAGTCAGTTGGCCAGAGTTGAACTCTATTATCTGTATATTTTCTTAACTCATTTCTTCCCTTAGAGTAGAGCTAACAAATGTACAGATGTTTGTTTATACATTTCTAATGAATGTGTTCAAGTCCTGGCTCTCGAATTATCTAGTTACTACGTTTTATGAAGCATATTACAAAAAAAAAATTTTTTTTGCTTTAGAACATTTTGAAGCTTCTTACTACTGAGCTGTCTCCAGTCCATGATTATTAAAAACCTCATCATGAATTCTGAAGAATATTTAAAATTTGAATACAGCTACATCCTGATCTTCACTGGGATGTGAGCCAAAATGATTTAGCTTCAAATGTCCTAAAGGTGGTTAAAAGAATTGATAGGATCATTATCTAAATGTTGAAATACAGCAATTGTGATGTTGGCATAGTTGATGCTGAACTGTTTTTTCTTTTCATTCTTGAACTTCTTGATGATAATTATTCATCAGGTTATGATAGATTTCAAATCTGCTTCTCATTAAAGATAAAATTGCTATCGCCTTAAAGAAGGAAATTTGCTTCCCTGTTTTATATATTATATACAAAGAAGTTATACGTCAAGTGTGTATAATATCTGTACAAGTTATTTGTAATATATTGAAAGAAAAATGGCCTGGATTGTAGCAATGTTTTATAACATTTGGGCTAAATTTTTAATTGATTTATTTACTTGCCATTAGCTCACTCAGCAAACATACTGAATGCTGACTGCCAGTGCTCTGGAGATATAAAGATAAACAAGACATGGTCCCTACTAGGGTTATGCATTTAAACAACTACTCTCAATATGATAAAACCTAAGATATGAAAAGATGAGCAAAGTTCTGTGGGAGCAGAACAGAGGGGAAACTTATTTTAAGAAATAAAGCTTAAAAGAAGTAGTAACTTTTGAGTTTGGTGCTGAGTTTCAACAGGTGAGGCAGTGGGGAGAGCATGTGTGTGTGTGTGTGAGTGTGTGCATACATGCATATACACATATACAGGTACATACAAACACTACTGCATATGCATGCCCGTCTGTATATAATCATTGTGACAGAGACTGTTGATTGGCTAATTTAACACTTGCTCCCAATGCCCTTCTCCCTTGCCACCTTCTCTATGGAGGCTGGAAAAGTTAGATACTCAGAGCTAAGAGTAGCCATGTAACGCAGTCTGGCCAATTGGCCATAATTGGAAATATGCTGAAGGCTGTTGGAAACACTTTTGCTTTCGAAATAAGAGACAGATACAGTTGGTATTACCCTCTTCTCCCTACCTTGAATATGACTGTCACAACTATAGCTGTAACACCCACTTTGAGACATTGAGAGAGACCAGGATAATTGGTTGTCATATGGTTGAGCCACTAACCTAATGCCCACAGCTGCCTACTGCAACATTATGTGAGGAAAACCTTTCTTTAAGTCATTCTTACTCAGATTTTTCTATTACTTGTAGCCAAAAGGATTCCTAATACATACATGACCTATACACAAACACATACATTTTTTCATGTTCACGTATTTATACTTAACAATATACTCCATGCCTACCAAGGCTTGGAACTATTTTTGGACCTCAATTTTCGTGGAAAGTAAATAGGGCTTAAAGGTAGAGTTAAAATAACAACTGGAATGCTTTCTATGTTATCATCAACCCTGACATTACCATCAACACTTAATTTCCATTATATCCATCCTGTCCTTCTCTAATAATTTAGATAAAGGTAAAATCAAGAGAGGCGAAAATAGGTTGAGAAGAAAGATGAATGCTGAAGTGGATCATGTTTGAGGTTATGTTATGGGGAAAACTAGGTGAGACCAAGACTAAGAATCAATAGGTGGTGGCTTTGAAGAGCACCATTGAAAAGAACGCCCAGCTAATGACAGGGCCTGATCACATGGTGAAGAGAGAGGCTTAAATCTTAGTCCATCACTGTGCATTCCTATGTATTCAGAACCAAGAGGTCACTGTTACCTGTGTCCATTTGGCATTGTAGGTTTCCCTAACAGCCAAGAGATTGTTTGTTTTTTTCATTTGGGAAGATAAGGGTAGAAACCATTCTTCTTTTGAGAGGTCAGAAAAGCTTTCCACAGAGCATATTGGTCATCTTAGGTCTTGTCTTGTATAAGCAAGAGGTATTTAATGGAATCTGACCTTCCACTACCTATATGCAGAACAACGTGAAAAACACTCAACTTGTTGTTTTGTTTTGTTTTAAAGAGACTAATGCTATCACTTTGTTTATTGCTCTCTTCCTTGTCATTTCTAATTGTGTCATGTGTATGTATTTCTTGACATTGCATCAAGTTACATTTTAATAGTGTCTGCATATATCCTTACTCTTTTTCAAACAGGTCAGCAAAGTTGCTTCTTCATTATAGTGATCTTCCACAATTTATTTATTTGTTTTAGTAGCTGCCTCTTTCTTTTTAACTGAATTTTGATTTTCTGTTTCCTATATGTGTTTTTCTTAGGATTCATTTCTTATCTTAAGGAGGAGTAGTGTAAGGCAGGTAGAAGGAGCCCCAGTCTCATGACAAAAGTACTGGATGAAAGCAAGGAATCTTTAAGAGAGAAAACTCAATGGGATAGTTGACGTTCACATAAAAGTCTATGAATTATCATTTAATCTTTGATTTAAATACATATAAACCGTTTAATTTTTTGTTCTTAACAAAGAATCTAAACTGATTTTCTTCTTAAATTTTTTACTAATTTTCCTTAGAATCTTCAGCTACTTGGAGCTACAGCCATTGAAGATAGATTACAAGATCAAGTGCCTGAAACTATAGAAACTCTAATGAAAGCAGATATCAAAATCTGGATCCTTACAGGAGACAAGCAAGAAACTGCCATTAACATTGGTAATTCACATAATTCAAACTTTAAATCTTGATACTTTTAACAGTTTGATATATTTTAGAAAATAGATTTGCAATATTTCAAGATTTGAAAGAGCTGTAGTATTGTAGGGCTTATCTATTATAGCTCTAGTGCCCCTTTAAAATTGCAATGGTTACGTGTATACCCACTAGCCCACTACCGTCGAGTCAGTTCTGATGCACAGCAACCCTATAGGACAGAGTAGAGCTGCCCCATAGAGTTTCCAAGGCTGTAATCTTCATGGAAGCAGACGGCCATATTTTTCTCCTGTGGTTACATATACAGGCAAATTTTAACGTTTACAACCAATTAGTGCTCTCTTTCCTTTGCATCTGTCTCTGCCTACCCCACTTTCCACCCATAATTGACACCTGTAGATGGTACTCTGCAGTTGTCAGTGAAAGTCAGGAGATTGGGTTGATGGTTTATGTGGCCAAAGGTTATTTCTGAGACAGGAAGTAAGAATGGTGCCACTTTTCATCCATCCTAAATTTAATTCCAATTTCTTAGAAAGAGGTCTTACTGAGAAAAAAGCTAATATTTTGTTTTAGAGGTCTGTTGTACCAATAATATGCAAGAAAATATCACTCTTTTTTCCAGATTCAATAATAGTATTAAGCCTATAAACCCTGACGTAGATTCGGCCTCTGAATATTAATGATTACATATGAAACTCCCCAGAGTCAAAAAAACCATTTCAGCAGTGTTCACAGCATGAAACCACATTTTTAGAAAGTCATTATTAAACATCTTTATTTAAAAAAACATTTAGATTATATTTCTTTTAGAAGTGTTGGCAATCAGCGTAAAGTATTCTGTAACTATAAAACTCTATACAATTTTATACATTATAAGTTTAAAGTAAATTGATGTTATTACTAAGGAAAATTAATAATTAAAAAAACTAGCTAGTAGAAGTTTAAATCTATAAGCCACACAAGTTGTTAATTTGATTATGAAATCATCATTGGTGTTAGAGACAAAATGAAGAGAGGATGTATGAGAATACAATTCAAAGGAAACATAGAATGCGTTAAAATTGAGAGACCTGAAAAACACAAATAATATAAAAAGACATGACTACAGATAGAGGGAGAATATATGGTAGTAAATACAGATAGATGAGGGAAATAAGCAATCATGAGTACAAATTGCTCAGGATATACAGCCATTATAAAGGTTCCTATGAAAAGAACATGGTGGAAGTTTCTGGTCAACATTTAACTTTTAGAACCTTGGGGTTTGGTTGTTACTAGAAAACGGTCAATAAAATTCATTCACTCAGCAAATGGTTATGATGCCTACTTTGCCAGGCACTAGTTAAGTGCAAGAGACACAGAAGAGAACAAACAAACCAAAATGCCTGCCTTTGTGGAGCTTTAGATCCTACTCAGGAAGACAAATGATGAAGTAAATGAGAAAAATATATAGCATATTAGATAGCAATAATTGCTATAAAGAAAAATAAAACAGGGAAAGGAGATAGGGAATTGAACAGAGGGATTCAGTTTTAAGTAAGGAAATCAGGAAGACTCATTGAAAAGGTGACATTTGAGGAAGTACCAGAAAGAAGTGAGTTTGTCACAGGGATGCTTAGAGACAAATTGTCTTCCAAAAGAGCAGAAATGCACAAAGCGGGGACTATTAGGAGACGATGTCAGAACTGTAAGGGAGTCCAGGTTGGACGGGACCTTCTAGGCCATTGTAAGGACTTTGGCATTTACTCTGAGTGAGATGAGAAGCCTTTGAAGGGTCTGAGCAGAGGAGATACAAAATCTGACTTTTCTGTGAAAATGGTGACTCTCACTGTTAGGTTGAGAGTGGACTGGATGGGAAGCAAATGTGGAAGCAGAGAGACCAGTGGAGAAGTGATTCCATTAATCCAGGTGAGATGATGGTGACTTGGACCTGGATGATAACAGTGGAAGTGATGAGAAATGGTTGGGTTCTGTATAAATTTTAAAGTGGAACCAACAGGATTATCTGATAGATTAGATGTAGTGTGTGAAAAAAAGAAAGGAATCAAAGGTAATGCCAAGGTTTGGGGCCTTAGCAACAGAAAGGGAAAGCAACTAAAATGGGAAAGAAGGAAGGAATAGCAGGTTTTTCAGAGGGTCATTCAGGAGCTGGTTTTTGGACATATTAAGTTTGAGACTCCCGTTTGACACCTAAGTGTCTTCTCTTGAGTAGACACTTGGACATGAGAGTCTGGAGGTCAGGAAAGAGGTCTGAGCAAGAGAGATGAGTTTCAGAATGGTCAACATTTAGATAGTATTTAAAACCATGAGAATGAATGGGATGGTATTATTTTAAATGTGAAATGTGAGACACTCAAAGTATTTGTTAAATTGTAAACATAGCAGAGTGGTGGGTTTTAATTTTTTTGTAATGCATGTGGGAGAAGAAAGTACGAAGATCTTTTAATATGACTAAGAAAACTTACAGACTTTTATATTGTTTAAGAATGCATAGGTGTTATTTTCATCATTATTAACAGGACAATAATTTATCAAGAAAGACAACTAATAAGAATTACAGATTGGTTTTAGAGATTATTTTCATAAGATATGAGACTCTGAAGTCTTGTATGACAGGTTTGTTCAAATAACGCCTCAAAGGACAGATTTGGTTTAACAGAGAACAGAACACCTTGGTAGCGGGCATTTATATATCTCCATTTCATATCAGAGAAGAAGATTGATATTCTTGTGAATGTTCTCGATTTTATACCTTATCATTGGATGTATTGATAGGTGGTCAGGGAGAAGAGGAGGAATCAACAAGAGGTGGGACTAATAAAGTAGGGACTAATGAAGGAGAATGTAGTATTCTAGAAGCAAAGTGAAGAAGTGCTTCAAGGAGTAAAGATTGATAGCTGTACCACATGTTCCTGATTGGTGGTTGAGTAAGATGAGGCCTGAGAAATAACCATTAGATTTTACAATGTGGAAATCCCTGACCTTGTCAAAAGCAAGTCTGGCATAGTGGTGCGGGCAAAATAAAGCTGATTGGAGTGATCTGAGGAGAGTGGGAGGAGAGAGATTAGAGACAGAAAGTGTAGTCAACTCCAGAGAAATACAAGGCCATAATGGGACAGTAAGTGGGATCAAGAGAAGGGGTTTTTGCTTTGTTTTTTTCAAGATAGATAATAGCATGTTTGTGTGCTGATAGAAAAATTCTATGGAGAAGGAAAAAAGTGATTCAGAAGAAAGAGGGAGAATTGGTGGAGCCATGTCCTTAAGTAGGTGAGTGGAGTGGAATCTAAGCAAGTGAAAGAGGAGGCTTTCGCTTGAGCAGGGCGGTTGATGCATGGTGCCTGGAGAGAAGGCAGGGTGTATGTATGGCACAGGTGAGGAGTGCTTAAGGAGTTGCTCTTCTCTTCTGGTTGCTTCTATCTTATCAGTAAATGGGAAGGTCATCAGCTGTGAGTGAGGACGGAAGGAGACTTAGAGTTGAGGGAAGAGGAGAAGGTTTAAAATAGTCCTCTCGGACAGTAGAGTAGTGAAGTGACCAGGTAAATGTAGTAGGATTTCTGGGTGACACTAAGGGCCCCTTGGAGCATAGTGAGCATAGATCTAAAGTGAAATTAGTCAGCAGGGTTGATTGTTTTCCTCCAGTCATGTTCAGATACAGAGTAGGTGGAGTTGGATTTAGCGGGGGTAATTTTGCCCTGCGGCAAGTACAACAAAAAGAGAGAGGAAGAAGAGGATGTATGCAAGAAGATGACTGTCATGACCATCCAAGAGCAGTGAGAGTGAGATGGTGGTGGGATCAGTGGGTCAGAGAGATAGCAACGCTATTCTTCTGCACCGTTTTCTGGAAACAACCCTCTGGCCCATCTTATGCTCTTCATATTGGTCATCAGGAGGGGGATTCCATCTATGTTTGCCAGTTTTTATAGCATTGAAAATCATTATTACAGTCTCTTCCCATATTTGTTTATGCAGACAACCAGGCCAGATGTTGCCCTTGTCTCATATCCCTCCTATAGCAAGCAAGAGTGGTTCAATAGTAGAATTCTCACCTTCCATGCAGAAGACCCAGGTTGAATTCCTAGCCAATGCACCTCATGCACAGCCACCACCCTTCTGTCAGTGGGGGCTTACAAGTTGCTATGATGCTGAACAGGTTTCAGCGGAACTTCTAGACTTAGACAGACTAGAAAGAACGGCATGGCAATCTATTTCTGAAAATCAGCCAGTGAAAACCCTGTGGATCACAGTGATCCAGTCCTTCATGCATAGGGTCACCATGAGTCAGGGTCTGACTTGACAGCAGCTAACAACAACGTAAAACTCGAATAACAGCTGATTGCCATAACTTCTAATAAAATAGTCTTTAGATATTTTGGTGGTATCATTACTTTACTTTCTTCACGTCTTCTCTCCAGAAAAACTAATATGTCAATTAATTCACTGTATTTTTTGACATAGGACACTCGTGCAAACTTTTGAAGAAGAACATGGGAATGATTGTTATAAATGAAGGCTCTCTTGATGTAAGTAAAATTATTTTTTTATCTTTTAGTAATTTAATCATCTAGTAGTATTTTATTTTACATTCACATAGCCGTAGAAATATTTTATCTTCCTGAAGTTAAAAGATACCTTATTGGTATTGTTCTACTTTGATGTAATGTGTACTCCCTTGAACCATGTTGGTGTAAATAGATTTAAGCTTTCTATCTGTGGCAGCTAAGAGAAATTGCTAAACAATTTGCTTAATGTTGTGAGACAGAAAAGCTGTTTTATAAAAGCATTATGCCAGGAGTTGCTGAATGACTGGAACTTGTTCATATCTACTTGGGTATTTTATATATTGAGCATATTATACGTGCTCTAGCTTCCAGTGCTAATATATATTTTGCTTCTTAAAAATTTTTGTGAAAGCTATTGAACAACACAAAATAACTTGCTGTTGGCAAAGATTTTCTTTTTTAATGCACTAACTTCTTCTGGGCTGAACTATAAATTCTTAGGATGTCTTTTTTTTCTTTTTATGGCTGTGTTAGGTATTCACAATCACATTTGGAAGAAGGAAAAGGATTTGTTAGGAATGCAGTATAAAATAGAAGTTAACAGAAAAATATGTAGGTCAAAAGAACTAAATATGTTAAAGTAAAGGTGACTACTTGTAATTTAAGGTGGAAGACAGAACAGGAGAGGTGATAATAGAACTGCTTAAGATAGTTGTAGTGACACAAAGAAAACCTGATGATTAGGGATGTTGGCAAAGCTGAGGGGATGTTGGCGAAGCTGAGAGGCTAAATATGTAGGAGGGATGGTAAAGAGGTGAATGAAAAGGCAAACGTTTGGAAGTCAGGTATAGAACAGAAATTACATGTAATAAGAATTTGACTTCAGATTTTTAAATTGACATGGTGACCTCATAATTGTTTGTCCGCAAAATGACCCTCTGATACTTTACTATTTCTTGTAGCCTGAAAGACAATATGTGATTTCTCAACTTTAAGTCATGTAGACCTTTAACTATTGAAGAAGTACTTTTTACGAAGCAAGCTGTAATCCTAAAAACACAAACCAAAAAATCCACCCTGTGATTTGAAGTCTTTACTTTTCATTTATTCACTCAGTGCTCCCTCTCCTAGGCACTAGACAAGAATGCGATGGACTCCTCCCCCTTAGCTTACAGTTGGCTCTGTTCTCTACCATCCATACGTATTAATTTAGGTATATTATATCCAAGTTACTGTGTTGTGAAAAATTATGACTAAGACAACCCTGCCATCCAAAACTTACAAAATAATAAGGGAAGTAAAAAAAAAAAAAAAAAAAACCCATTGCCATCAAGTCAATTCCAACTCAAAGTGACCCTATGGGACAGAGTTGAACTGCTCCATAGGGTTTCCAAGGAGTGGCTGGTGGATTTGAACTGCCAAGGTTTTGATTAGCAGCCGAGCTCTTAATCACTGCTCCACCAGGGCTCCAAGGGAAGTAAGATGTATACAAAAACAGTACAAAACAGATATGTAAAAAAGGTAGATAGTTTACTGTGAAAAATATTGTAAAGGTTAGGGAAATATTTATAAAGTAAATGGCATTTAGTTAGGTGGAGGTGAGTGAGTAAGGAGGGAGTACTTCAAGCAGAAAAAAATGGCTTGAGGCAAGTTATTGCAAGTAAGTTTGGGGCATGTAAAGAAAACATTAGACTTGAACACAAGGTTATAATTTTTTAAGTATTTTTTGTTTGAATACATAGAGGCAGGCACATAATGTAAAATTCAGAAGGTACAAAAGGGAAAAAGTGTAGATAGGTGGTAAAAAAATGTGTCTGCAACCTTTATACCCAAGCTATCCAGTTTGCCTCCCTAGGGGTGGTCACCAGTTCTGTATTATTGTGTGTTCTTCTAGAAATATTCTGCTATATCCAAGGGATGTATGTGTATATGTATGTACGTATCCTTTGTTGTTCAACACTAATTATAGCATACAATACACGCTGCTTTACACTTTGTTTTTCTCACATAATGTATCTTGGCCTTTGTTCTGTAATGACATATGTATAAAGCTACCTAAATTACCTAAATTTTTTTTAATGGTGCCACAGCATTTGTAAAACCCAAAAAACTCATTGCCATCAGGTCAATTCCTACTCATAGCGACCCTATAAAACAGAATAGAACTGCCACATAGGGTTTCCAATGCTATCAATCTTTACAGAGGCAGACTGCCATATCTTTCTCCTGCGGAGCCGCTGGTGGGTTTGATCCACTCACCTTTCAGTCAGCAGCCCAACATGTAACAGCTGCCCCACCAGGGCTCCTTCAGCATTTGTAATGTACCTGTAAATAAATGGCAGAGAGTGTTAAAACTGGAAAGGTAGTTTCAGGTCCGGTGGTGGAAGGCTGGGCCAGGTTTAAGAATTTGCCCTCATAGGCAGGGGGAGCAACTTCATCAGCCTTGTGCTTTACAAACTATAATGTGTAGAAGCAGTTGTACATTAGTAAGTCTGGAAGGGTAGAGAGGCTTGGAGGCAGGGGACTAGGATACCAGTCACATAAGAGGAAATGGGGGTACCAATGCCAGTGATGTGGTATGAGAAAAATTCAGACAGACTTCACTGATGTCCCTAGAGAAGGAGCTGTCAAGGGTGATTCCAGAACTGGACTGTAGTTGTTCACAGCATCGTGGAAAACTATATTCCCATAGTCCCTGTAGAAGTTTATGTCTTTGTCAGCAACATGGATTACATGTGGTGCACAGCTTTTCTTACAACTGCAGGAAATCAGAAGTAGGACCTATGATGTTGAAGTAAAAGCATGACAAGCCATGTTTGATATGACATATATTCCTTTTATCTGGGTTTAGGTTTTCACCTTATGTAGAGTATGGTAGCGTTGTTTCTTATTTTAAAATCTGTCCATCTTATTTTTCCAATTCTTGGATAAACATGTCCTTTAAGTGTTTTAAGTACCGAGTAGTGTAAATAGTAATTTCAAAAAAAAAGAGAAGTTAAAGTGATATACCAAAAACCTTTAATGTAGTCCATCAGTATATTGTTAAGACACTGGCATTTATTTTCATTTTGAGGTTTTCAAGGTGGTAATGCAAAATCAATAAACACCTAAAAGATACTTGCGTGACCTCTTTCTACTAGAGCAAACATAGGTAACAGAAACCATGTCTGTCTATTTTGGTTTACTATTTCAATGCCCCACAAATTGCCTAGCACATAGTAAGTATTCCATAAATACTTGAGAAGTGCATTGCTGAGTAAATTTAAATTAAAGGCTTCTCTTAAACAAACAAAAGTTGTATATCAGTTTTAAATTTGATGGTAATCTTATCATATCTAATATTAAAAACTAAAAACCAAACCTGTTGCCGTTGAGTCGATTCCAACTCATAGCAACCTTATAGGACAGAGTTAGAAATCTCCTTAGCCATTCACGAGGCAGTTTGGTGTGGAAGATTGTAGGCAAACGCTATGGCTGAATGGATTAACACTAATTAATTCAGCTCTGGACTGCTGCACATTCTAGCACTGGTGTCTGGGGAAGGTTTTTCTCCCAGGGAGTTAAAGTGATGACATTAGGAATCTGGCTGTTTGGGGTCAGACCCTCTGTGGTACACTCATTTGTTTCTCAGCAGGAAAGGAAGCATCACTTTGCGTAGCTCCATCAGATCTTGTGTCATAAAATCCACTGCTGAGATTTCAGGCAATTCAATAGATATGCTAGAGTGCCTGTAGGTAAATTGTTACTTATTTATTTTTTTATTGCCTGGGGAAAGGAAAGCATCCTGTGTTAAAAGTGTGCTGATAGAGAGTAAGAAGAAATAGAATTGTCATTCCATCAGCACAAAGAATAATTAACATTTAAGTAATAAACTTAGGAGCATAATATCTTGGGAAATAAGACAATAGGGAACAAACTAATTGTGTGTTTTGTACAAGTAGCAATTTTAATGAGTGTACTCAGATTGTTCTGTGAAATAGCACCGGGGTTAAAAACACAGTTTTACTCTAACCTGACTGTGCAACTGTGGACAAATTGAAATTAGGTAACTTCTCAGAGCCACAGTTTCGCCACCTATAAAGTGAGAGTAATGTTATTCTCAGCCTTGGATTGATATGGTTAGCACAGTGTATGGCACATGTAAAAAGGAGATCTTACGAAATTTAGTAGAAAAATAGTATTTCAGTAGTTTCCAAGTTGCTTTGCATAATGATCATTTTTATTATGAAATAAATACTATTTTTTCATCTTTTATTTTTTCATAAGGTAGAAATTTGTAGACATAGGTCCTCTTCTGCATAAATGATGCATACTGCTGTGAACTGTTCACATTATCCACAAAAATATTATCCCTTATACTGTTAAAATTTAAAAGGTGAATCATTTTCTTGTGTTAAACTTATTATAAAGTATCAGAGAGGCTCTTAAAATTTCAAATAGAAAAACTTTTCTCCTGACCCGCAGGGCAGTGGAAATCTTTCTTTTCATGATCTAGATCATCTCAAAAAAAAAAAAAAGCCTTTGTTTTCTAATTTTCTTTTTTTTATTTCAGTATGATTGTCTTAAAAATTACTCCTTTGCATTTTAAAAAGAAAAAAAAACTTTAAATACATGTATAAAACCAAACTGCAGTTGAAAATGCATATGAACAAAATGAAAGCCTTGCTCTGCAGGTCTGATACGGAAACCTGAAGTTTCTCTGCCTCTGCTGATTCCCAGCTCCATTCATAGCATGAAGAGCATACCAGCTAGAAAAATGCCCGAGAGCAAAGCTGGGTGTTCTCACCCAGTTATCTGCCAGGCTCTTGTCAGATATAGACAGTCTCAACAAAGGAGGTTCTTAGGCAGAGGGCTTGGTAGATTTTTTTTTTTTTTTTTTGAAATTTACAAAGAATTTCATGGATCAGCATCATTGAGAATCATCTAAAGTTGATCAAAACATGACTATCAAATATTTGTAATAAATAGATAATTTAGATAATTTGTATAATTTTCTTTGTCATGCTACTTTGAACTACTTT